TTTTACTGGGTTTTCCAAAACGCCTTCGTTTCATTAACCATTGTAGGGATGAAGTTCATTGCCCTATGCCATTACCTTTCCTTTATAGACCACCTTCTCATGCCTGTGACTTAAATCTGATTGCTAGGGAAATTGGCTCCTTTAATACTCGATAATCCGTTTTAGTGGACTTTTTTTTTGTGGGGCAAATATTGGTGACTGCCAAAATTGCTGTACCTACGGTCTTATCTTGCTTGTAGTGTTAAATCCACAAAAGAAATCTTTGGAGCACTGCGTTGTCTGTGGTAAATTACACTTACAGTTCTGGCGATAGCGTTGTTTGCCAGCACTAGGAGTGTATAAACTATTAAAAACTTGGTTTTTTTTGGGTTGTTAGTTATATGATAAAATTAAGTTTCATAGGTTTTATAGTTAGGTTCAAAATTTCCCCCTTTTTCGGCTTTTTGATGTTTCTGAATTTTAGCTCTTCTCGATCCATGCATTCACGAAATATCGTTGTTTGCTAGTGGATACGAATATGGTTTGAGCGCTCGAATAGCCGTACAAGTTAGTTGTTGAATGTTATTTTGAAAATTCAATTATTCTCAAACAAGTTTGGCTAAATACATTAAATGAACTATTTACGGCATTCCCACCATTAATCAGTAGACCCTTATAAATCTGGCGAGGGGATGACTGATTTGAAACATATAAATTGTTTCTCCTATAAATTTCCATCCCTGGGACCTCACCAATGCTCTCGAAAGGCACCGGACTGAGCACTACAGTGGGGCGGCAGCATGCAAACCTTGACAGCTCCAACCATATCCAGAAAACGCTATACCGCATTTTATCCGGCTAAATTTGGATTGTACGGATCACTGTCAGCCTGATCAGTGGACGATAACACAGCGGATGTCATGCAGCTGTAAGCAAAATGGGAACTGTGCGCTGTATAACACTGCGAGAGGAGCAGTGTAGAATGAAACAAAAACGGTTTCTAGTGGCTTCGCACTCTTTGGGCCGACAAATCCTAGTTCAGGGGCAGCGAAGAATCTAAGGTAACAAACGATATCACCACAAGGCGGACTGGATTTCTTGATATACACTACAGGTCGCTGCCGAGATTCTTCCAAAAACTGATAAGACGCTATCCTTTTCCAACGTTTGTGGGATATGGCGGAGAGTTGGGTGTATTGCATCCTAGAGGGGAGGTAAACTGGTTTTGCGTGACGCAGAGGAAGGACAGAAGCATGTTAACGAAGTCGGGTTTATTGTCAGCAGCAGCGGTCTTTTCAAGCCATCTTTTGTCAATTTCATTCATCGCTAGTCGATGTATTTCTTCCCAGGCTACATGCCAGTCATATTTACAAAATTTTTTAACCTGATGCCTCACTGGAGCTGACGACAGCGGTGAGAATCAAGAGTTCTCTGCATAGCTCGAATCAGCCCTGTCCATGAAATATAAATGTGCGGTTCTCTTGGGCATTCTCAACATAAAACTTGGACGACGAGAGATCTGCTGAGAGAAGTAAGTTAGTAGGAGTTACGTTAGCACGAGGAACCACGGAAACGACAGACTGTCGAGAGACATATTTTTTGACAAAAATCTGGTTCCAGAAAGATGGGGGACGGAAGTGGACAAAAGTGAAGAAAATAAACTGTATGCTTGTTATTGCGTGACGCGTTCTTAGAGTTGTCTACTTACTGCCATCGTTTTGTTTGAGTGGATTAGAGCGCAAATTATTCGGACAATTGAAGGCCGCTCTAATGGGTTGAAAACACTGGATTGCTAAGACCTAACTAGTTTAGTCGGTTGTGTCTAAAAATCTTCACAACCATAAAAACAGGAAATACTCGGCTCTTAAAAGACATGAGACAGAAGTTGAAGGAAGACCGCGAGAACTTCAGCGGGTGACAGAAGATGATGACGGCTCAAAGGAAATTTGGAGAAGTGCAGGAGAAACCAGCTGCTCTACCATCCCACAATGACGAAAACGGTCGTTGGATCAGAGACAAGACTTTAAGAACGTATATGAAAGTCTTAAACAAATCTGTTCGCAACATGTTTCGACATTTCAGCATCTTTAACTCACGTTATCAAGCGGCAAACCCCTCCTTGTTTCTCACTGTGGTAGATTGCGCAGCTGTTCGAACGATAATTTAAAAGGCTGTCGGTCGCCATAGCATTTATGTCGAACTTATCTAATCCTAATTGTGAAATTTGAAAAGCTCTCACTATTCGGCTCAGTCGGTGTTTGCTTGAGAAGAGTACTGGTAATCAGGGGGAGACGAGAACTGTTTTTTTATTTATCCAAGCAGCGCACACGGGGTTTTTCTGTGCGATAATGCGTTTTTGCGCTAAACTTGAAGCAGGTAGATCGTTAATGGTATGAATGACTGCTGCTTTACAGTTTAACATGCGCGCTTACATTTGCAGTTTTTTAGTCCTCGCATGCGTGAAGGGGAAAAAAGGCATTGACTAGGACTACAGTTGCATCATAGAGCCGCATGAAAACTTAACCTCCAGCATGCTTAATAACTGCAAATTTTGTTTGAAGAGGTCATGAAAAACTGCCCGATAGTGTTGAGTTGAATGCTGACATATAAGCTGTTACAGGTGAATAGACTGACGGAAGCTGTGTGAAGTTTGTTAAAGAAGTGAACACAGTTCGAATAGCTTACATAACATTTTTCTTTTTGAGAGGACGCAAAACAGTAGGAACCCATCGCCTGTGCCTGCATACTTAGTTGGAGACGCACTTTGAACATCAGTGCCTGTGAGCTAACCGTTTGCGTTTTGCCAGCAGTACAGTTCTCATTGTAAGCAGCAACCCTGCATTGAGCGATGACGCTAGAGCTTACTTGGAGGTGGGGCAAAATCATCGCACTGAAGCGAAAACGACTCATAGTACCAGAATTTCGAAATCTGATTGTAAAGCGCCGGTGCTGATGCAGAAGTTGATATTTTTGCTAGGAACTAATATGCACCGCAGTCTGCAGACTGAGACTGTACGTTGAAAGGCTGCCGGCTGGTGCAAATTTCGAGGCATTGTCAA